GGCTCAATTCTTGAGGACGCAGGACGCAAGACGCGTTCAGAGGCCATTGATGGAGGTGATGGGCTAAGCGAGACTAGCCGACGAGCTCGCCTTCGAAACCCCTCGAGCGACGATAACACTCATCCCCCCTCACAAAGTGCCTCAAGGGTAATGTCAATCGACGCGGAAAGCCTTCGTCTCCAACATACTCGCGATTCATATTTTTCTGTTAGGTTTGGGACACGACAGACCCCTTGGAAAACAACGAGCACAAGAGATGAGGTTGGTACCTTGCCATATGCGGCAGGTTCGGCTAGCCCATCACATCCATCAGTTGTGCTCTGAGTGCGTCCTGCGTCCTGCGTCCTCAAGAATTGAGCGGCCCTACTAGCGTGCCAGGGGAGGCGACGGCACATCATATTGCCCCATCAGTGGAAGGGGCTGCGAACGCAAACAGTTCGTCATGCGGGGTCATGGGGTTGCCAGTGGTCGCCAGAGAAGAAAAGTCTGTCGTCAGTACGCCCTCCAGTAAGAAGCGCAGCAACGATCCATTGAACGACATGCTGCGTCTCTACTGGGTGGACAGCGTTTGGTGGAAGCCCTTCGCATAGAATCATAGCGACAACCAGAGTTGCCAGTGAGCTGAGCTCTGACCGTCATGGTGGCGGTGTCTGGGTAGGCGTCGAGCCGAGAGACGCCGGGGTGGCCCATGCTCTGATCGGCTCTGATCGGCTCAAGAGTACCGTACGGTCACTTCAAATTCGTCGTCCCCTTGTTTGCTTCAGGTGACGCCAGCTCACCTGCCCTCATGATGACGAACTGCTGTAGACCTGGCTGAGGTCACAAGAATGTTTGACAACAAAGTTCCTGATAGCTTGGCGACAAAGTGTTTGATACATAGCTTGGCGACGATGTTCCTGGTAGCGTCCAGGCCAAAAGGTTATAACATCAATAATGAGACTAATGAGGCCATCCGTCTTACGTCCGAGGTCTCGAGAAGCTCTAGGGATTCATCCCGGTCAGTCTTAAAACAACCTCCGGTATTTACACAATGGCTGACGCTCATCTTGAGAAATCGTACCTTGAAACTGCGTTTGACATTGTCTAGAAATGGGCAACTACGTACCTCCAGCTGGGGGTTATGAATCACCGTGCCGCGTGGCCGTCCGTATGATGAAAAGAAGGACTGTGTATTGTAGCCGGTATGTATTTCATGCCCACTGGAAACAAGTCGGCCTCCCACCCTTTGAAGTGTGTGAGGCTCACAATTTCCTTTTATGCTTGTTACCAGTGCCGCTGTGAGTTAAAGCGCTAGCACTCGTTGGACGACTTTGAGTTTATGAAATGTGTGGCGCCCAATTTTGAGAGATGCACGCCCGAAGCTCTTCTTCGCCGGTCTCGTGTAGGGGGTTCTCTTCATAACCCGGTACACTTATAGCTCGAGGGGAAGAAGCCATGTGCGCCTCCCTCCCCTTCTCTTATTCGCCTTAGTGCACAGATGGGACAAGCGTGTTGCAAGCGGAAAGCCATGGATGTCGCACCAACGTAAGCCTGCTGCTCCCACTGCTTCTAGGTTGTCTGCTAACCTGGAGGCTAGATTTGGTCCTCGGGTGATCTGCGATGTCTTCGCTGGCACCGTCAACACCAGAGATAACACTTTGAACATCTCCACCGTTGCAACTCCTGGTCACATTCGTTTAATCGACTGTCAGGTCTTGAAAGACCAGGGCTTCATCCGTATCATCGAGTTCCCGGACTTTCCCACTGTTCCATACGCCGCAATGTCCTACCCGTGGCGCGGTGTACCCGTGGACTCCACCTACACCCAGCACACCTTCTCCGTCCATGGCGCCGAGCATGCCGATCCCATCGGTCTTGACACCCTTCGTCACGCTTGCGCCGCATCCTTGCAGCACGGATGTCCCTACCTCTGGCTCGACAGACTATGCATCATCCAAGACAACCACGACGACAAGAACTGGCATATTCGGCAAATGCACCAGGTATACACTTCTTGTAGCGTCTGCATCGTGCTGCCAGGAGGGATCCAACGTCTTGTACGCCTGGATGAGGAGACACCTTGGATACATCGGAGCTGGACGCTGCAGGAGGCTCTCGCTCCGCGACAGGTGGTCGTTCTTGTAGCTTGGAGACTAGGTTCAGGAACAGCGTTAAGCGGCGGAAAGTCGCGGCAGATCCACGAAGTCATCGCCGGCGAGTCTGCCACTGCTCCCCTCTCCTTCCTCCTGGAAGCCTGCATCTCCGGCTCCCTAACCTTTACGCCCGCGGTGGCGCCTCCTGGCCTCGAGAAGCCTTTCCACGTTGAAACGTCCATATTCAACAGCCTTCCCTCCAGAAACGTGCTCCACGACAAACCATTCTGGCGTCCACAGCGGAAGAGTTTGACTACTCACGCCGTCGCGCTTACGATCGCTATGGACGACGTTCTTTCCACCGACCTCGACGCCCGGAACTACGCTATCTGGCAAAGCGCATTGTTGCGAACATGCTTTCGTCCCGTGGACACAATACTCAGCCTCATGGGGCTGTTTGGCGTCGATCTGGACCCAGCACAATTTCACAAGGACGACAGGCACGGGGCCACGATTGCCCTCGCACAAGCCATTCTACGGTCCGGCGGCAGCGCGAGTTGGTTAGGTGTCGGCTACCGTATAGAGCCTGACCGTTGTCTGTCGACATTCCCTACTTTCCCGCATCCTGGCGTCAGCGGGGTCGCGTATGTCCAGACGAGAGGCCGGGTGCAGGGGGTCGGCGACCTGCTCGATCCAGTGTACCCCATCGGGGCAGCCCTCGTCCCGCTACCCCGCGGCGACATGGACGACACGGGCTACCTGACCTTCTCGGCCAAGGCGCTCCGAGTGCGCCTGACCAGGTCGGCCTCGAGGGGGCCCCGACGGACCCTGAGGGCTCTCGACGGCTCTGAATGGGAGGTCCATGACGAGTCGAACCCTGTCACGTCTCAGGATGCCCGCTGCGACGACCTCGGCACGGGCCCCAGTCGCCTCGCGTACGCGGCGCTCCTCGGATGGTTCAGTCGATACAGCCCTGGGATGAGCACTGCGCACGACAGGGAGAACGTGCGGGTGATGCTCCTGGAGGAGCACGCCGTGGGGATGTTTCATCTCCGTTCGTTCTTTGCGCTGAACCAGAGCGAGAAGGCGTACGTCCTCGGCTGGCCCGAGCGCGACTTCCGCGTGGGTGGGCCTGACGTCCCGGATGAGGGTCCCAGTGTTGCTTCTGGGACGGGATCGGCGGAGGGAGGTGACGAGACCTTCATCAGCTAGGAGCAGGGCTAGCCTCATGACCCATGGACGAGCCTTGCTACGAGCAGTTAAGACCCTGGTCACGACTTATCACGACTGTGTTATGCTCAGGCTGTCTCACGTTTTCTACGACATCACGCCAGATAGTAACAAAGCAATGGAATGCTAGATAGAGTACACGTTATGGTATACAGACGAGGCACCGGTAGTAACGAAAGCACATGAGACGGACAGCAAGAGACCCCGAGAGCGAACTGTACATATAAGCGCGTCTGTGTATCGCACAACTAGATTTTGTAGACGACTCCGTCGCTGAGCATGACCTCGTTCGCGTCTGTCATGATCCCACATGCAGCAGTCGCCTCTGCCGTGCCAAACAGCTGGTCGTTCGACAGACCCTCATTGATCATCTCAACAAGCGTATTGAGATACATCTGATCCTCGTCGACGAGCTTCGTCGCGAACAGGTTGGCAAGGCGTGTCCTGAACAGCTTCAGCCTGAGGGAAGGTAGCGCTGTCAATCGCACATCCGTCGAGAGTCGAAATGCAGAAAGCATACCTGTCCGGGCGAATGCCACCATTCACTAGACCGCCCGCGTCCGCGTCTCCCATTTGGACGTCATCGTCCTGCGACTCCGGTACAGGGGAGGGCTTTGCGGGCGTAGGGGACTTGGCCTTAGCCTTGGGCATCTCCATCCTCTGCGGTGCTTCCTCCTCTTCGTCTTCGCTATCGCTCTCTTCACCCTCATCGTCCTCCTCGTCATCAACAACGTTGCCAGCGCCGTTGTTCAGCTTGCGCTTCTTCCGGCGCTGGCGCCTGAGCACCTCCTTGAACAGTGCATACCGTAGAATTTCCTCAGCAACCTTCGCATCCTGCGTCCTTACCTCCGTTGACAGACGAGCCTTCGCATGTGCGGTGGCGAGACGGATCAAAGTCTCCAGCGTACGTGCCGTGAGAGGGGATGTCTGCAAATTACCTGCACGTCAATATCCGCATTCTATGCCAGCACCGGAGCCGAACGCCGGATAAGGGGCGATGTACTCACCCGCTTCTTCCGCGTGCCGTCGAGGTCCTCGTTCCGGAGCGTTGCGTACACATTGACGATGTGGTTCGCGGCACCCTGGGTGAGCTTCGGGGCTGGCTTGCTCTTCGCATACTGTATATACGTTTTCACGAAGGTGATGCTGAGAATCTCGGGCTTCTTCAGCTTGCCCCCCCGCCGCGTGCTGGAGAGGGCGGGAGCGATCCCGACGTGCAGAAGCGGGTCGTACTTCTCCCAGGGATCCGCATCCCCGCCATCGGCATCTTCGCCCGCAACACCCGGCCCGTCGACGAACAGCTGCTGCGACAGGCTGTCCACGACCGGGGTGCCCTCCTCGACGCCTGGAGGCAGGTATCGGTGCATGCGGAGAACGTGGTCCGCGATCTGGCGGTCTCGGTTCTCGTCGACGTCATCGGTGACTACGAAGAGCAGATCGAAACGGGAGAGAAGGGAGTCCGGTAGCGCGATGTTCTTGTGCGGGTCCTTGTGCACGTCATACTGCGGGATGTGACGGCGGAGTTCAGAACCGTTGAACGGAAGCCGAAGAGCACAAGACGCCCACCTGCCCGTAAATCGGGTTCGCCGCCGCGACGACACTACACCGTGCGTTGAGGGTGGTGTGGATGCCGGCTTTGGCGATAGTCACCGTTTGCTGTTCCATGACCTCATGAATCGCGACGCGGTCGATGTCCGACATTTTGTCGAACTCGTCGATGCAGACCACGCCTCGGTCAGCGAGGACCATGGCGCCAGCTTCGAGTCTCCTCTCTCCGGTATCTTTGTCCGTCGTCACCGCCGCCGTGAGACCGACCCCGGACGAGCCACGACCTGTCGTCGCGATCGCGAGCGGGGCCGTACCGAGCACGAACCGAAGCATTTGCGACTTAGCCGTCGACGGGTCGCCGACCATGAGAATGTTGATGTCGCCACGAATGTGCGTGCCGTTCGGAAGATTCTTTTCGGCACCCCCTAGCAGGAGAAGGAGAATCGCCTCTTTGATCTTGTCATGGCCGTAGATTGACGGGGCGAGGCTCTGTGAGAGAAGCTTGAAGATTCCCGCCTTCTTCGACAACTGGTTGATCTGCCGGATGTCGTAGTCCGTGAGAGGCGTTTGGGCAATGCCGCCGCCGACTTTGGATGAAAGCAGGTTGATGTTGTTGGCGAGAATAAGTGACCTGTGACCATTATGGTTAGCACGAGGCTCGAAGAGAATCTGTTTGCGCAACAAACGATGCATGAGACAGGAGCGCTCCAAGGCGTTCGGATTAGAAAAGTATCCTGCCTGGTGCCTGCAACCGACATTGAGTGCGTAAATGCACAGGACCGGCCCACGGCGCCTCCTGCTGGTCATCCACCGTAGGAAGAGCTCGAGTAATCGCAATCTCGATAAACAGTCAAACGGTGGAGGGCCAATGGACGAACACAGGTCAATACTTTGGATAGCAGCTTTCGCAGACACCTAGCCCAGGAAAGCTAGAGGATACTTCCAATTTGACACATGCCATAACGCCGGAGTGTATCTGACAATCATCATCTATCCTTGGCTAGCTGCAGCGTTCGACTGGCCGTACAGCGCGAGTTCTGAAGCGCCTGTCCAAGGGTTATGAACGCCAAGGCGCGTCTTGTTGACGCAGAGTACAAGGCTTCAGATGCCTCCATCCGTTCCGCATTCATGTCGGGTGGACCAAAAGCACCGCTCCGCGACTTCCCCGCTGCCTGAGGTGACAGGCTTGCAAACTAGAAGCACATGGACTGTCCACCTTCTGGGGCAAAGAAGGCCGAGAAGGATCGCGGAAACAATGCCCTGCCACGCACAGTGGCTTGATTGTCGCTCGGCCGAATGACAGCCATGCACGGTGCTTTGCCTTTTCTGACAAGTGGACGAGAGCACTCACTTGAACGTTCCGTTCGCACCGCCTCCGACGCTGCGATACACGCCCACCAGCTGTATGCGGTCTCCGGGCTTGCACTTGTCCACGAGGTCCCCGTCGAGGATCACGTCCGTCGCGCGCGGAAGCTGCCCTGCGGGAGAGCGCTCCGGCATCTCCTGTATGCTGATCCGCTGGTGGTCCCGGAACTCGCAGAAGCCGTACTCCATCTGCAGCGGGTGGCCCTCGTCGTCCTGCTGCGGCGTGACCGACGACGTCGGGGGGAGGTTGGACGTCGTCGTCGTCGCGTCCCGGTACTCGCGCGCGTGGAAGAGGCCGGTGTCGGCGCAGAAGTGGACGGACTTGAGCATCTTCGGGCGCACGAGCGAGCAGCGCGTGACGATGCCCTCGAGGGAGATCATCTTGCCCAGCTGGAATGCGCGGAGATGGCGGGGGCTGACGTGGTGGTCGCCGAAGGAGCCGCTGAACCCGACGCGGTAGCTCTTGCCCTCGATCTCGTGCTTTTCGCGGTCGTGCACGCGTTCGACGACCTTGATGAGCGCGTCTTCGAGGGCGGGGAGGTAGTCGACCGGTTGCTTGAGCAGCCCGTCTGCGAAGTCGCGTCGATAGTCGCGGAGGTCGTCAATATTGACGATGAGCCGCCGCTCGTCATTGCGGAGCATGCGAGCGATGTCGTCGCGGTAGTTGTATACAGGGGTCTCGGCGTCGAGGAACTCCTCAAAGACGCGAGACCTGTCTTGCATCAAATCATCGGCAGCGATGGGATCGTCGAGGAGAGACATGGTGGCGGTAGTGACCAAGCAGCGCGTCGTCGCGTCGGGACCAGACGACAACTGCAATTAACGCGTCCATCCGCGTAACAGCCTGCCCTGAACTGAGACCTGGCGTGACACATGTGACATAATACCACCCAATTACAAAGATTCGGCCTGGGCACAACGCAGAGGAAGATGACTCGCGTTGAAGACAGCTCATATGGTAGGTGCTGCGCTCTATGGGAGGTGGGCCCATCTTGCGGCGGTCAGAGAACAAGACAAGCTGATTTCTCGGAAACATCCATATCGCGGACAGACGCCGAGCAGCGCGAACGTCGGAGTGCGCAGCGGGATGTGTGGAGCGTCCATGTACTAGTGTGACCCCAGAAGCTACGGATTAAGCGCCTGACCCCAGAAGCTACTGACACGCCTCCAGTTCTCGCATTTCCCTGTCAAAAAGTGTGCACGGGTTACACGCGAGAAGATGTACTTCAAAAATATCATTGTAAAAAACAAAGAAGGAAATCGGAAGGGATTTGCTCCCGATACAAGTCAATCTCAGTAGGGTTTCAAGGGTTTACTGACCTTGGTGAGCTGCCACAAAAAGATCTGCAGCGCCGATCTTTCTGTAACTTCGCAAAGTGTTCTGAACATTCTCAATAAACTTTCTTGTTCAGTCTCCGAAGGGTTCCGGGTTGCAGTATTCGAAAGATAGGAAGAGGTCTCTCGAGCGTGACATTCAGCCACTGACCGAGATAAAGCTGACTTTCAATCTGAGCGCTTCGACAATGTTGCCCGGCCAACTTCGCTATCAAACGACTGATAACAGCGGTGTTTG